AGTAATACAAAAAAATATGAAAATTTGATTTTGACCCTCCAAAAGAAAACCGAAATGCGACATTACAACCACATTGGTTGGAAAACCCCAGTTTAACAGAAAAAAAGATTCAAGATTTAAATTGAACATAAATGTAACCAAATACAAAATATAAAATAGTTTCAATAATCGACTACATTATCTGAGCTGTAAGTGCGTTTTAAATATATTTGAGTATTTGGGCTATAAGCGTTATTTTTTTTTAATACTATTTTTCAAGGTTATTTGAGCTATAAGCGAGTTCCTTTTAAATAAAATTCCAACTGCAATTTCAAAATTCCAAATTCGACCCAGATATATCACATTTTTCGTCCACTATGAGTTTCTTTTCAATCTCTCTTAATACGAATCGAAATACCTACTATTAATCATAAATTGCATTACCTACATTTTTATTTCCGTAATATTACCTTACTATTGACCATATTTACCTGTCAGTGTTATGTCCACACACTCATTCCATATACTAAATTCCGCCCAACAATTCAATAAGCCGCATCAATGAACCATTGCTAATTCCTCTCCCCTAAAAATCTAATTTCTCTCCCAGAAAATCAATGATAAATCATTCTAATGAGACTGTCAGTTAAATAAAATTATTAGTCGACAATACTAAGTGACAGGCGAACGTCGATAGGAGATTACAATTTCATTTACAAAATACTCTGATGATAACAACAACAGCAACAACGACAGCAATGTTGTTTATATCATTCTGTGATCTTAATGTAAATATTGAATAAATTCAATGACCAAAAATAGAATATAGATAGAATTTTACCAAGAAATAAATGGATAAAATAGTATATGTCTGTTACAGGGAAAAATATATAAAAATAAAGTATTGTAAGAAAAAATATGGGGAGGTTAACCAAGTCGTGTTAATCGAACAAACGATTAGCCTTTGGTGCACTACCCTGAAAGCGGACGAAATTATATAAGGGACCAATATCCATGAAAAATTGTATTTCAAAAATCCGCGCTTATACCTCCGATAATCCTTGAAAATTCTTCTTATAGCTCCAATAATCCTTGAAAAATGTTACAAAGAAATCTACGCTTTTAACTCCAATAATCCTTGAAAATTATCATTTAAAAAATCCACGCTTACAATCGTTGAAAAATGTTATTTAAAAAATCCACGCTTATAGGTCCAATAATTCACGCTTATAATTCAGATAAGCGTTGAAAATTATTCTTTAAAAAGTACATACTATGTCTCAGATAGTCCTTGAAAAGTATTCTTTAAAAAGTACATACTATGTCTCAGATAGTCCTTGAAAAGTATTCTTTAAAAAGTTCACGCCTATGGCTCAGATAGTCCTTGACAAATATTCTTTAAAAAATCCACGCCTTGAAAAATATTCTTTAACAAATCGAGCCTTATGGCTCAGATAGTCCTTGACAAATATTCTTTAAAAAGCCCATGCCTTTAGCATAGATAGTCCTTCAAAAATATTATTCAAACAGTCGACGCCTGAGGTTTAGATATTCCTTGAAAAATATTCTTTACCAAATCCACGCCTATGGCTTAGATAGTCCTTGAAAAATATTCTTTACAAAGTTGACGCCTGAGGTTTAGATATTCCTTGAAAACTATTCTTTAACAAATCCACGCCTATGTCTTAGATATTCCTTTAAAAATATTCTTTAAAAATTCGACGCTTGACGATTAAATATTAATTGAAAAATATTCTTTAAAAAGTCGACGCCTGAGGTTTAGATATTAATTGAAAAATATTCTTTAACAAATCCACTTACTTACTTACTTACTTACTTAGCTGGCTTGTTACAGAACGGTTGTTCCATAAGCCGAGCTTAAAAAAGATTTCGGTCTTGTGCGCAAGTCCACCAATTTGGAAGACCACGTTCCAAGATGTTGTTTTCTACTTGGTCTTTCCATCTAATTCGTGGCCTTCCCCTTCTACGGGAACCATCAGTAGGCTCATTTTTATATGCCTTTTGAGCTGGGGCATCTTCATTCATCCGCACAACATGGCCTAGCCACCGTAGTCGCTGCAGCTCAATACGACTGACTATGTCGATGTCCGCGTATAAATTGTAGAGCTCGTGGTTCATTCGACGCCGATATTCACCGTCGACGCAGATCGGCCCGTAGATCTTTCGGAGAATTTTTCTCTCAAACACCCCAAGCGCTGCCTCATCTGCTTGCGCAGTACCCATGCTTCTGATCCACATAATAGCACGGGTAGAATCAGCGTCCTGTAAAGTGTGAGTTTGGTCTGGCGAGAGGTGGCCTTGTTTCTAAACTGCTTACTTAGACCATAGTAGCATCTGTTGGCCATCACAATCCTTCTCCGAATTTCAAAACTGATATTATTCGTTTTATTTATGGCGGTACCAAGGTATATAAAGTCTTTAACTACCTCGAAGCTGTAGTTCTCAAGTTCCACAGTTGGTCCGAGTCTACTGGACATCTTGCGCGTTGATACCATCAGCTTGGTCTTCTCGCCGTTTACTGCCAGACCCACTTTGGCAGACTCCTTTTCAATTTGTTCAAAGGTGGCTGTTACCACTCGCAATGTTCGACCCATTATATCGATGTCATCGGCGTAGGCGAGTAACTGATGTTGTTTGGTGTACAGAGTGCCATTTCTGTTCACCTTTGCGTCTCGTATGACCTTTTCCAGTAGGATGTTAAAAAGATCACACGACAAACTGTCACCTTGTCTGAATCCTCGTTCGGTATTGAAGGGCTCCGATAGGTCCTTTCCTACTTTAACGGCTGACCTTGTGCCACTTAAAGTTATCCTGCATAGCCGTATTAATTTTGCAGGAATGCCGAACGCAGACATGGCTTTAAACACCTCTGAACGGATAGGGCTGTCGAATGCGGCTTTATAGTCGACAAATAGGTGGTATGTGTCGATGTGTTCTTCGTGGGTCTTTTCCAGGATTTGGCGCAGAGTGAAAATCTGGTCAATGGTGGATTTGCCAGGTCTGAAGCCGCATTGGTATGGTCCGATGATGTCATTGACCATTGGCTTCAATCCTTCACACAGCACACTGGATAGCACTTTATATGCGATGGGAAGGAGACTTATTCCTCTATAGTTGGCACATATCGTCTTGTCTCCTTTTTTGTGCACGGGACACAGGATGCTGAGGTTCCAATCATTGGGCATGCATTCATCTAGCCAAATTGTGTTAATCAGCTGGTGCATGCTCCTGACCAGCATCTGGCCACCAGTCTTGACTAGTTCGGCTGGTAACCCATCGGCTCCTGCTGCTTTGTTGTTCTTGAGCCGATTAATTGCTTTTATGACCTCATCATGGCTAGGTGGTATACACTCTATACCATCATCTCTTACTGGTTCTGGGGTATCTTCTTCATCGCCACTATTTGATACTAGTAGCTTTTCGAAGTGCTCCTTCCAGATCCTCAACACGCTGTCTGTATCTGTCACCAGGGGCCTAATGCTCGTACTCGGTATAGAGTGAGATTTTGTTCGAAGTTAAATTACGATCCGTAGTTACTAATTGAATGATACGACTCGAATGGAATTATTCAAAAATTTATCGATTATTGTCAAAAAATAATCGAAATACCCACAATCGAAACATATGTTTTCATCCAAAAAAAGTAAACAAAACAATTGTTTGCCGCTTCATTAAAAGTTGAAAAAAAATATGGATACGTGTTTTTTTGTATTATCCTCTTCGGAAGATGAGGACGGTAATAATATAAAAATAATAAGAAGACAAATTCGAGAACGTAGTGACCCCTTATCATTGTCAGAAAATGCGTAAGTATAATAAGAAAATGCATGCAAGTGTGGTGTTTATAATTTTTGCAATTCATTGCAGATTCCGTCAACGATTTAGACTGACAAAAGAAGCTTTTCGATATGTGTTATCTAGACTAGATTTCTCCGGACATATGTCATCGTCCATTCCGGCAGTTCTACAATTGGCATCAACTTTATCACTCTTGGCCAGTGGAAGTTTTCAGCACACTGTGGGTAATGATTTTCTGATTGGAATGAGCCAAAGCGCAACCTGCAGAGTTGTCCAGCGAGTCGCAAAAGAAATGGAACTAAAGCTTTGTCCAGAACACATCAACTTTTCACCAGACCAGTCGGCTTTGTGTATGGAACATTTCTGTACAAAGTTTCGGATTCCTGGAGGTAAGAATATATTGACTTTTTCGATTCTAAAATAAAATAATATATGCATTTTTACATTTTTTAGTAATTGGATGTGTAGATGGAACACATTTTGGTTTGCAGAAACCCACCGAAAACGAACACATGTTCTTCAACCGAAAGGGATACCATAGTCTAAATTCCATGATTGTAAGTTTTACTTAAATTTATTTTCATTACATATTAATATAGAAATCTTATTTAATTCACGCAGATCTGTGATCACCAACACATAATTACGGCGATACTTTCCAAATATGGGGGGGCAGCACACGATTCCTTCATTTGGAAGCATTCCGACGGAAGGCGATTGTTGGAACAAATGTACACAAACAACAGCTTCAAAAACGGGTGGCTTTTAGGTATGTTTTCTGATTCATGCTTTATTTAATGAAATACACGTATGTTTTGCTATGCAGGAAACTCAGGGTATCCTCTGGAGCCTTGGTGTATTACACCGTATAGGAATCCTGCCGATGGGTCACCTGAATCAAAATTTAATGAGGTCCACTCATCAGCCAGATGTATAGTAGAGAGAACCATTGGTATGCTGAAGGCCAGATGGAAAATTGTTTGCCATGACAAAAGAAGTAGATATTCCCCTGTAAAAATGGCGTTATTCGGAAATGTATGTGCTGCCCTGCGCAACATTTGTATCAAATTTAAAGTGCCTATGTATACCGAAAAGGATTTTAATATCGAATCTGTCACAATGGAAGTGGAAACATCTAACCATACACAACCCAATAAGATTGGTGAAAAAATACGAAACCAAATCAAAAGATCATTGTACCAATCTATGTAAAAATAAATATTTTATTAAAGAAATCAACAAAAACAAAACTAATTCAATTAATACATTCTAGTGTAATTATAAATAAACAAAGCTATTCATTTCATTATTTTATGGTAAGGTACATGGGTTACTAGAAAAGTCCATAGTAATATACAGGTACAAATATACAATTTTTTTTCTTACAAATCGGCCTTTTGTTTCAGCAAATTCAATTCCAACGTTTTAATCTCAAGCTCGACCTTATTTATAGCCATATTTGACTTATGCTCTTCTTCCTTTATTTTTAAAGATCTTTCTTTCAATTTATATGTTTCCTCTTTAATTTTGAGGGACTTTCTTTTACAATCCATTAGAGTATCCCAAAACAACTTCCTTTCGCGCATCCCTTCATCGTGTTTTTCTATATTCTCTTTCAAAAGATCCATCTTGGAGGCTGATTTGGTACGACGTTGAGTAGATGAAGGCACAGTGGAACCAATGCTGCAGTCCATATCATTTTCTACATCCATCAGTTCTTCCTCGTCGTTTTCCTTCCTATCCACTTCCATTCCTTTTTTTGCACCAAAACTTTGGACTGAAGAAAGCCCCTCTACAGCCGCTGATAATCCTGCTGCTTCCAGTATCAGCTCTTCTGATTGGGTGAGGAGTTTTTCTTCATATGGGCCTCCACCTGTCTGATTCTTTGATGCCTTGTTAAAAGATAATTTCTTCTTAACTTGTTGTTTTTGGTCTGCATAAACCTTGGAAAGGAAAACTGTGAAACATAATTTTTCATACCACTTTTCAATATATACCTTTCGCCACAAGGTGACATTCTTTACGGGTGGTCCTGCTCCATTTAATTTGGTTGTTAACTGCTACCACAAACGATTGGATGACGCTCTACCTTCTGGACAATTCGAAATTTTTCCTTTGGCAAGTCCCGGGTGGTCAGACATAAAATCTGCCATAATTGCCTTTTGCTTAAAATTTATTTTGTTGCAATTCGTGCTCCTGTGAAATAAAAGGCTGAATTATTATATTTTATTTATATAATTACATTTTTTAATACTTACATTTCGTTTTTCTTCTGTTTTGTTTTGGTCTCGACAGGTAGAATGTGGCGGGCAAAAACTCGAATAGTTTTATTCGACATATCGATAAATTTTATTCGATCACGGATACGGTAATCCAAAAATTCAAATTATCTATCGAAACAACTCGATATCGAGTACGAGCATTAGGCCCCAGGTTTCCTTCTTCATCTCTACAGGAGGATGTGCCTGCACCAAAGCCTTCGGTTTGGTGTTTTACTCGTTGGTAAAATTTCCGGACTTCATTCTGACTCCTGTACATCTCGATTTGCTCACGCTCACATTTTTCTTGTTCTTTCTTCTTTTTTCTGAAAACACGTTTCTCCTCTCTCCTTTTCTCCCGATAATTCTCCATCACGTTACGTGTTGCTACTGTCTGCAGGGTTGCCCTATACGCTGCGTTTTTCACATCAGTAGCATTACGACACTCCTGATCGTACCATGGGTTTCTTGGTGGTGGTTTTTGGTACCCAATTGTTCTTTTTGCTGCAGTTTGTAGGGAGTGGGCAATTCTTTGCCATTGTGCTTCTATACTATTATCGGGACAAGAAGTGCTTTCTTCAAGCAGATGGGTAAGTTGAGCGGAGTAGGCCTCGGCTACCTGTTGTGTTTGCAGCTTTTCGACGTCGAGTTTCCGTGTTATATTAGATCGCACCTTTGCTGCAACATTAAGACGGGTGCGTACCTTGGCTGCCACAAGATAATGGTCCGAATCGATATTCGCTCCTCGGATCGATCGGACGTCTAAAACACTGGATGAATGCCTTCCGTCTATCACAACATGATCAATTTGATTTCTCGTTACTTGATCAGGAGAAATCCAGGTGGCCTTGTGTATATCGAGATGCTTGAATCTGGTGCTGCTAACTACCATGTTTTTTGCTGCCGCGAAGTCAATCAACCTCATGCCGTTGTCGGATGTTTCTTCATGAAGGCTGAATTTTCCGACGGTGGGGCCAAAGATATTTTCCCTTCCGATTTTTGCAATAAAATCTCCTAGCAGAATTTTAATGTCATGGCCAGGGCAACGGTAATAGGCTGCTTCTAGGCGCTCGTAAAATATGTCTTTGGTCTGTTCATATTTTTCTTCGGTCGGAGCATGGGCGCAAATTAGACTGATGTAAAAGAACTTCGCTTTTATACGGATTATAGCAATTCGCTCATCTACTGGAGTGAATCTGGAGACAAGGTCTTTTATTCTCCTGTTAACCATAAATCCGCAGCCAAATTCATGTCTCGTTTCATGGCAGCTATAATACAGGGCGTAATCGTCTGATTTACTTACGCCTGTCCCTTTCCATCGCATTTCCTGTAAGGCAATAATATCGGCTTTGTACTTCTTGAGTATATCCGCCAAAGCGAACACTGCCCCTGTTCTGTTGAACGTGCGCACATTCCAAGTGCAGATTCGCAGATCGTGGTCCTTTATACGTTTGCGGGGGTCGTCAACATTAGGGGGGTTTGGTTTTCTTTTTCTTTGCTTTTTCATAGTAGGTTGGGTTTTCCGAGGGTGGGCAACTAACCCGACGCCTCAACCCATTTTTTATAGTTCTTATGGGTGAACTCGCGGCACATGTTAGCTCACTATTTCATCGGGTGATGATAATAGCTCCCCAGGTGGCACAGCGGGGAGGTCAGTGTCCACAATTGAGATGAAAGAGGGACCAAGATAAGCCTGGGCTTCGCCATGTTAAAGCCAGTCAGAGCCGTTGCTTGGTATCATCATCCCCTACGCCACCCTTAACAAATCCACGCCTGTGGCTAAGATGGTCCTTGCAAAATGTTCTTTAAAAAGTCCAAGCCTATGGCATAGATAGTCCTTGAAAAATATTCCTTTTTTTAAATCCACGTCTGTGGCTTATATAGTCCTTAAAAATATTCATTAGTCCATGCCTTTAGCATAGATAGTCCTTCAAAAATATTCATTAAAAAGTCCATGCCTTTAGCATAGATAGCCCTTCAAAAATATTCATTAAAAAGTCCATGCCTTTAGCATACATAGTCCTTCAAAAATATTATTTTTAAAGTACATGCCTGTGGCTTAGATAGTCCTTAAAAATATTCTTTAACAAATCCACGCCTATAGCTCTAATGGAGCTCAAAAAATATTCTTTAAAAAGTCCACGCCTTATGTAGGTCTGGAAAGGTAGGTCTGGAAAAATATTCTTTAAAAAGTCCACGCCTTATGTAGGTCTGGAAAAATATTCTTTAAAAAGTCCACGCCTTATGTAGGTCTTGAAAAATATTCTTTAAAAAGTCCACGCCTTAAATAGTCCTTGAAAAATATTCTTTACAAATTCCACGCCTTAGATAGTCCTTTAAAAGTATTCTTTAAAAAGTCCACGCTTAAGATAGTCCTTGAAAAATATTCTTTAAAAAGTCCACGCCTTAGATAGACCTTTAAAAATTCCACGCCTTAGACAGTCCTTGAAAAATATTCTTTAAAAAGTCCTAGCCTTAGATAGTCCTTGAAAAATATTCTTTAAAAAGTCCACGCCTTAGATTGTCCTTGAATAATATTCTTTAAAAAATCCACGCCTTAGATAGTCCTTGAAAAATATTCTTTAAAAAGTCCACGCCTTAAATAGTCCTTGAAAAATATTCTTTAAAAAGTCCACGCCTTAGATAGTCCTTGAAAAATATTCTTTAAAAAGTCCACGCCTTAGATAGTGCATGAAAAATATTCTTTAAAAAGTCCACGTCTATGGTTCAGAGAGTCCTTGAAAAATATTTTTTAAAAAGTCCACGCCTATGACATAGTCCTTTATAAATATTCATTAAAAAGTCCTCGCCTATGGCTTAGCTAGTCCTTGAACAATATTCTTCAAAAAATTTTTCTTATTATTTTATTTTATAATTACTATATTTAAAAAATATTATTTTGAACTTTGTACACAACAATCAAATGTTTTCTCTTGTTCCTGACACAATAACGTCCTGATAATAATTTATTATCTCCCAATATATAAATACTTCCTAATTACATTAGCAACAAATCCCCCCGAAAAAGGAATACTGACCAAAATCCCCTTCAAAACCAAAAATTTAATTAGTTAAAAATCATTAAATTGCATTATTCATAATTGAGCGGATAAAGACAAACCGGAATATTGTGTATTTGAAATAAAGCCATGGCTTATAAAATATTTAAATGAAAAGTTAATGCCAATGATATGAAGTATTTAATGCTGTCATTATTATTTTGTTTTGTTGTTTTTTTATTTAATTAATATTTAAGGAAGCCAAAAACACATCCGTCTATACAAAACGAACGGATGAGCTAACGAACAACTGAACGGAATGAGGTTAATTAACAACAGATTTACCAATGATTGCGGAAACGTTTTAAATTCCATATTCACTGGTGTACACTGCTTTCATGTGAAAACGAATTTACGTATGTATGTGTGTGTATAATTTTCAATATATCGACGTTGTGAACGCTCACTGACCACTATCTGCACAGAAGACCCATTAACATTTTGTGGTTATTGTTTCGATGATAATGGAAACCTGAAAATATACATATCAATAAATACGTACACAGACACATACATATATTTGTGTGTGGATATATATATGAATACCACTGCACAATCAGCCATATTTGTTCTGTTCTGTCCGTTCATTCGCATTGAGTTTTATTAAATTAATCCGTTTAACCGTTTGCAATGCCATATTTAAAATTAATCTTCAGTTTTGTTAAAAATGAAATCCGAAAAATGCATTCGATATGTTCTTTTATTGAGATGCTGTTGTATTCAATTGGAAAGAAAAGAGGAATTGTAGCGAAATGAGGCTTTTATTGTCTGTTACAGCTATAAATGGTTTAGTTGGAAAAGTTTTTTTTACTGAAATATTGACATTTTTGAATATTGGATTTTTTAATGCTTTAAATAATGTAAGGGGAAAGCCACAGAAACCGGACCATAGCAATTTTTTAAAGAATATTTTTCAAGGACTATCTGAGCCACAGGCGTGGATTTCTTAAAGAATATTTGCCAACGACTATCAAAAGCGTGGATTTTTTACTGAATATTTTTCAACGACTATCTAAGGCGTGGATTTCTTAAAGAATATTTTTCAAGGACTATCTAAACCATAGGCGTGGATTTTTAGCCATATTTTTCAAGGACAATCTAAACCATAGGCTTGGATTTTTTATATATTATTTTTCAAGGACTATCAAAGGCAATGATTTTTTGAAGGACTCTTATAGGGGTGAATTTTTTAAAGGACTATTATAGGCGAGGTTTTTTTTAATAATTTTCAAAGACTATATCTGCCACAGGCGTGGATTTTTTAAGAAATATTTTCCAAGAACTATATCTGCCACAGACGTGGATTTTTTAAAGAATATTTTTCAAGTACTATCTAAGCCATAGACGTGGATTTTTTAAAGAATAATTTTCAAGGACTATCTAAGCCATAGGCGTGGATTTTTTAAGGAATATTTTTCAAGAACTATATCTGCCACAGACGTGGATTTTGTACAGAATATTTTTCATAGGCGTGCATTTTTTAAACAATATTTTTCAGGGACTATCTAAGCAATAGCCGTGGATTTTTTAAAGAATATTTTTCCAGTACTATCTAAGCAATAGGCGTGGATTTTCTAAAGAATATTTTTCAAGGACTATCTAAGCCATAGGCGTGTATTTTTTAAACAATATTTTTCAGGGACTATCTAAGGATTTTCTAAAGAATATTTTTCATGGACTATGTATGCCACAGGCGTGGATTTTTAAAGAATATTTTTCATGGACTATGTATGCCATAGGCGTGGATTTTTTAAAGAATATTTTTCAAGGACTATCTAAGCCATAGGCGTGGATTTTTTAAATAGAATTTTTCAAGGACTATCTAAGCCATAGGCGTGGATTTTTTAAATAGAATTTTTCAAGGACTATCTAAGCCATAGGCGTGGATTTTTTAAGGAATATTTTTCAAGGACTATCTAAACCATAGGCGTGGATTTTTTAAAGAATATTTTTCAAGGACTATCAAAGGCGGGGATTTCTGAAAGAATATTTTTCAAGGACTATCAAAGGCGTGGATTTAGGTTAGCGAGGTTTTTTCAAGGACTATCAAATGCGTGAATTTTTCAAGAACTATCAAACGCGTGGATTTTTAATGGAGTACACAGGTTATAGGCTCGGATTTT